GACTATTCTCATAATATTACGACTTTATTGTAATAATGTTACGACTTTATTCTCATAATATTACGACTTTATTGTAATAATGTTACGACTTTATTCTCATAATATTACGACTTTATTGTGAAAATGTGACGACTTTATTCTCATTATATTACGACTTTATTCTCATTATATTACGACTTTATTCTCATTATATTACAACTTTATTGTGAAAATGTTGCGAATTTAATCTCATATTATTACGTCTTTATTCTAATGTTGCGGATTTATTCTCATAATATTACGACTTTATTGTGATAATGTTGCAAATTTAATCTCATAATATTACGACTTTATTCTAATAATGTTTGAAATTTATTCTCATATTACGACTTTGTGATAATGTTGCAAATTTATTCTCATAATATTACAACTTTATTGTGATAATGTTGCAAATGTATTCTCATGTTACGACTTTATAATGACTAATAATGTTATGAATTTATTCTCATAATATTACAACTTTATTGTGATAATGTTGAAAATTTAATCTCATAATATTATGACTTCATTCTAATGTTGGAAATTTATTCTAATACTACGACTTTATTGTGATAATGTTGCAAATTTATTCTCATAATATTACAACTTTATTGTGAAAATGTTGCGAATTTAATCTCATAATGTTACTACTTTATTCTAATAATGTTGCGAATTTATTCTCATAATATTTCGACTTTATTGTGATAATGTTACGACGTTATTGTGATAATGTTACGACTTTATTCTCATAATATTACAACTTTGTTGTGAAAATGTTGCGAATTTAATCTCATAATGTTACGACTTTATTCTAATAATGTTGCGAATTTATTCTCATAATATTACGACTTTATTGTGATAATGTTACGCCTTTATTGTGATAATGTTACGACTTTATTCTCATAATATTACAACTTTATTGTGAAAATGTTGCGAATTTAATCTCATAATATTACAACTGTATTGTGGTAATGTTGCAAATTTATTCTCATAATATAACGACTTTATTGTGGTAATGTTGCGAATTTATTCTCATAACATTGCGACTTTATTGTGATAATGTTACGACTTTATTCTCATAACATTGCGACTTCAAATAATTTTGCAAATTTATTCTCATAATATTTAGACTTTATTGTGATAATGTTACGACTTTATTCTCATAACATTGCGACTTTATTCTAATGTTGCAAATTTATTCTCATAATACTACGACTTTATTGTGATAATGTTACGACTTTATTCTCATAACATTGCGACTTTATTGTGATAATGTTGCAAATTTATTCTCATTATATTACAACTTAATTGTGATAATGTTGCGACTTTATTCTTGTATTATTGTGACTTTATTGTGAAAAATGTATCTGTAGCGTGGCCCTAATACTCCGCCGTACCTGGATTATAATCTCAACATGTTTTAGAAGCAGAAGCATCTTTTTAAAGAACAGAATCAGGGAGAAAAGGGAAAATTTAAAAGGCTCATCTCACATAAATAAATGAAGATAAATACAGGAAATTAGCTCATAATGTCAAAATATGACATGAACTTTGCTCTATAATAGTGCCGTTATTTTCTCCTCGGTTCACTGTGACTGAAGGTTCATGACATCAGCTGCCAAGAACCGTGTTTTGCGTTTTTGACGAACAGCTTTAATGTTTCTGAAATAAAATCTGAATCTATAGATGAGATTCCAGGGCTGAGCGATTGTGTTCCCCCTCCTGCAGCTGCTGGGCATCATCCTGAGCTGCGTCTTCTGGAACCTCCTGGTGGACATGAGCCAGTCGGCCGACATGGTGGACTTCAAGCTGAAGAAGTCCGAGTTCGAGTACAGCGAGCTGGACCTGGCCGGCGCCGGCTGGTGCCTGTGCCTGCCCAGGGACGGCGGCTACCTGCCGGTCCCCGCCTCTGAGCCCGAGCTCGACCCCATTGACATTCACCTGCAGAAGCTGAAGAAGCAGCCGCCTCGCACCCACGCCCAGCTGAGAGAACTGCAGCAGTCCAGGTCGGCCAGCGGCCTGGACGAGGTGGACGTGGGCCGGAAGCAGAAGAGGGAGCACTGAGCGGTCGCCTCCAGACGGTTTTTGCCTTTTACGTTTCTGCCTTCTTTTTTATTTGTGGTTGTGATTGATTACATTTGTTTAGGTTTCGTTGCACTACTCCATGTTGAAGGTAAGTGATCCAGTAAGCGGGGATCAGAACAACTTCGCACTTTGAATTAATTTTAAACAGAAAATTCCTTTGATTTATTTATTTTTTATCCGTCATTTCATATCTTTCTAAGCCTTGACTGAGCGACGGCTCATGTGCTAAAAGCTTACCTCAGGCTATTTGAAAGTAGCCCAGTAGTCAGAGGATGAACCTGTTTTGTTGTATAAATAAATTAATGGTTGCGTTTCGTGGTGGGAATAGGACTAGCCAGGTGTGTCTTGCGTGTAGCGTCTGTGACGGATTTCTACGGTTCCTGTCATGTTCTTTATCATGATTTTAATATTATTTTGTGCAATCACTGTACGTTGTAAGACTGATATTTGTGAAATAACATGGGATGCATGTTTTGTACTTTATATGAAATCATAAAAAACTCTATAATGGAGTTTTTTTTCCAATTTGAATAATAATACTGTTTTTATTCCTCAAAGGGATTCCTAAGACATTATCCACATGACAAACCGGTCCGGACCAAACGGACGGGTTTTGTATGAGTTGCATTGTTTTAATTTCCTTCCAGCTCCTGCCTTGTATAAACACAACTGTTCTTGTCATTAAAGCTGACTTTGTCTACTGGTTTCATTCCTCGATTCATTTAATCATGAGATGTTTTAGCAGTTTTGCCTATTTTCATCCAGAACACTTTTAGTCCAAATGAGAGGTGAACATCCATCATGGGAACCAACATCACTTCCATTTAAGGCTTTTTAAAGCCGTTAGAACCAATTAATTATTATCATTTACATCCATTACATCGTTTTCATCAGCCTCTAATTTTAGCTTCAGCTGAATCAACTCCTGTGATGTGCTAGCCTCGTGAGACCATCCTGATCTCGCGAGCTTTCAAGGTTTCACTCGCAGATCAG